TTTGTTTACATTTTCTATAAAACTTATAGTCCTGTTTAAAATGTTAATTTACTGAGTTTTATGTACTTTTGTTTTTTTATCAACCACCACCTGCCACATAATGTGCAACATACTAATCATGCTAGTTATGGAGAAGCAAAACATCAAAATCAATAAAACAAAATAAAGACAAGAAACTTTCTATTGACACATTGTTGTTGCTAACATATTCATGATGATATGAAAATGTGGAACAATTCCGAATTTCCGATTCCTGAGTCTTGAATCTTTTCAAAGAAAGAAATACACAAATGAGTCTTGAATGAATTTATTTGGTGGATTTTTTTCAAAAGTTTTTTTCTATTTTTTTTTACTTTTTTAATTTTTTGTTGTTTTTCCCACTTTTTCTTCCTTACAATTTCTTTGTTTCTTCTCTTTTTTTCTCCTTTCTTAAAACTTCTTTATTTCTTTTCTAGCTTTTACTTCTCTTTCTCTTATATCTTTATCATTCCTTTTCCCTTCTTTTTCAGTATTTTCTCTTTCTTTTCTATCTTGTTGATCTGACATTTCTTTTCACATTCTGTTCTCTTCTCTCTTTACTAATCTCATTTTCACTCTCACTCTCTCTTTTCTGTTTTCATTTTTAACCTTTTTTTCTCTCTTCTCTTTATTGATTTTATTTTCACTTCTACTCCTTTCCTCCTCTGTCTTTGCAGATGTCATTTTCAATTTCTTTTCTCTCTTATTTCATTTTCATATTTTCTCTCAGTTTCCTGATTTATTCTTTACTCTCTTTTCTCTCCTCTCTTTTCTGGTCTTATTTTCACTTTCTCTTTCTTTTCTCTCCTTTCTTTTCTGGTCTTATTTTCACTTTCTCTTTCTTCTCTCTCCTCTCTTTTCTGTTCTTATTTTCACTTTCTCTTTCTTTTCTCTCCTCTCTTTTCTGTTCTTATTTTCACTTTCTCTTTCTTTTCTCTCCTTTCTTTTCTGTTCTTATTTTCACTTTCTCTTTCTTTTCTCTCCTTTCTTTTCTGTTCTTATTTTCACTTTCTCTTTCTTTTCTCTCCTTTCTTTTCTGTTCTTATTTTCACTTTCTCTTTCTTTTCTCTCCTTTCTTTTCTGGTCTTATTTTCACTTTCTCTTTCTTTTTTCTCCTCTCTTTTCTGGTCTTATTTTCACTTTCTCTTTCTTCTCTCTCCTCTCTTTTCTGTTCTTATTTTCACTTTCTCTTTCTTTTCTCTCCTCTCTTTTCTGTTCTTATTTTCACTTTGTCTTTCTTCTCTCTCCTTTCTTTTCTGTTCTTATTTTCACTTTCTCTTTCTTTTCTCTCCTTTCTTTTCTGTTCTTATTTTCACTTTCTCTTTCTTTTCTCTCCTTTCTTTTCTGGTCTTATTTTCACTTTCTCTTTCTTTTCTCTCCTTTCTTTTCTGTTCTTATTTTCACTTTCTCTTTCTTTTCTCTCCTTTCTTTTCTGGTCTTATTTTTTCTCTTTCTTTTTCTTTTTTTTTTCTCCTTTCTTTCTCTCTGGTCTTATTTTTTTCCTTTCTCTTTCTTTTCTCTCCTCTTTTTCTGTTCTTATTTTCACTTTCTCTTTCTTTTCTCCCTTTCTTTTCTGTTCTTATTTTCACTTTGTCTTTCTTTTCTCTTCTCTCTTTTCCTTTTTTTTCTGTTCTTATTTTCACTTTTCTCTTTCTTTTCTCTCCTTTCTTTCTGTTCTTATTTTCACTTTCTCTTTCTTTTCTTTTCTGTTCTTATTTTCCCTTTCTTTTCTGGTCTTATTTTCACTTTCTTTTTTCTCTTTCTCTCCTTTCTTTTCTGTTCTTATTTTCACTTTCTCTTTCTTTTTCTCTCCTTTCTTTTCTGGTCTTATTTTCACTTTCTCTTTCTTTTTCTCCTTTCTTTTCTGGTCTTATTTTCACTTTCTCTTTCTTTTCTCTCCTCTCTTTTCTGTTCTTATTTTCACTTTCTCTTTCTTTTCTCTCCTCTTTTTCTTTTCTTATTTTTCTCTTTCTTTCTTTTTTTTCTCTCCTTTCTTTTCTGTTCTTATTTTCACTTTCTCTTTCTTTTCTCTCTCCTGTTCTTTTTTCTGTTCTTATTTTCACTTTTCTCTTTCTTTTTCTTTTCTCTTTTCCTTTTTTTCTTTTCTGGTCTTATTTTCACTTTCTTTTTTTTTCTCCTCTTTCTTTTCTGGTCTTATTTTCACTTTCTCTTTTTTTTCTCTCTCTTTTCTCTTTTTTCTGTTCTTATTTTCACTTTTTTTTCTTTTCTCTCCTCTCTTTTCTGTTCTTATTTTCACTTTCTCTTTCTTTTCTCTCCTTTCTTTTCTGTTCTTATTTTCACTTTCTCTTTCTTTTCTGTCCTTTCTTTTCTGGTCTTATTTTCACTTTCTCTTTCTTTTTTCTCCTCTCTTTTCTGGTCTTATTTTCACTTTTTATTATATCTACTTTGTATTTCTTCTTATTATCATTATTATTACTTCTTTTTTATTTTCTTTTTATCTCTTTTTTTTCTTTTCCTTATTTCCTCTCTAGCCTTCCATATTTTTCTTCTCCCCTCATCTCCTCATCTTCTTTCTCTTTCCCCTGCCACCATTTCACCTGTTTCTTTTTTATTCCACTAATAATTACAACCTGGTCTTAACTCTCAACATTGCCACTTTGACAATCTTTTTCTCTTTTTTACTCATTATATCCTTCTTCATATTCATTCCCAATTCCCAAATGCTATTTGCTGCTATTTTATATTTTATCATGCAAATCATATTCCATTCTTGTTCAACTGAGCTTCTACCCTAATTCCTTAAGTCATTCAAGAAATCACTGTATTAATTCTCAGTTTCTTTTTCTTTGCCTAGAACTCCAAGGAGAAGAGCAGTCTGCCAAAATTTGACCTCATTAGACTCTCAAGTGAATTCGCTATTAATTTCTTAGATGACATTTATCAATATTTTTTTTTATTCTAAAATGCAAATATCATTTGGATTTTCTTTAGTTTCTAATGATCAAAGTAGTACAAGAAGTTGCATTATTTATTAAGCTCATCTTCATATGGCAACTGGACAAATAAGTGGTAAAAAGAAAGACTGTGCTGTGTCAGCTTTATAAGTAAGCAAAGTCTTCTGACCTTGGGAATCAACATTCACAATCCTAGCTTTTTATCTAAGTTTTGAATCTTAATCACTGTTAACAGAAAGAAAATGCACAACTCCTTCAGCCACCAGGAAGGCATCAAAATACAATAATAGAGTAGCAGAGGAATTGGCAGAAAAACAAGAGCAGACAAAATGCAATTGTTTAAAAGAAGGATTTCTAAAAAGAATAAAACTCTAAAAGAGTTGCAAGTAAATTGAAATGACTTTATTGGATGAATCACTTTCTCAAAAGATCAACTACTTATTGTAAGAAAGGCATTAAACTAAGCAGTGTTACAGACATTGACTGAAGAATTGAATGATGAATCCCACACCCCAATGAGGATTGATATTGTTCCTATTGATTTACACTAATTGAATGGTGAACATTTACAACACATTGCAGACAGGGACTTGATGAAAATCTGACAGTCAATGTAGATATTTGACAACTGTAGTTGTTACAAACAAAAATAAATCTAACATTGGTTGAAAGCCAAAAAAAGATGGACAATTATTCAGTGCATTACAAGCAGGACATATGAAAGCCAGAAGAACATTTACACTTTGATATTGGCATATTGGCATAAAGATTTAACTTATGTTCAATAAATGTATGATTGCAAGTGTGTATATATATATATAAATTTCCAGAGGATAGAATCCAGGTAGATCTCAACAGAGCAAGAATAAAAGGCTCAAACACTAATATCCCATGGTTATAATTTATTACATTGGAATCGTAGTCACAATCCAACTCATCAGACCTACAAATTCAAAAAAGTTTTGAATATTATATATATATATATATATATATATATATATATATATAGTCATCCACAGACAGACAGTTTCACAGTTCATCAGTGTGGCTAGACATCCGATTGCTTAAACCTGGGAGTGAAACCCAACTGACTTGGCATCAGTCAGGTTTTGATTTGGCATCACATTTTTACGATTTCTTTTTGAATTTGTAGATCTGATGAATTGGATTGTGATTACAATTCTAATTTAATAAATTATAGCCATGGAATATTAGTGTTTGAGTTTTATATATATATATATATATATATATATATATATATATATCAATATACTGATGCCAAATCAGTCGGGTTTCGATTTGGCATCAGTTTGAGTTTTTCCCCGAAGCAGGTTGAAAGAAAGGCAAATTTTTACATACTTACTCTGTGAATAAACACACCAATGACTGACAGTGGTCAGTTCAGGGAAGATACTTTTAATATTAGTAGTAATAGTCATCATTTACAAATTTGCACTTATCTTCCAAGAGTGTACACCTGAATTTAAGTTTTTGGGGTGCGTATATATTTTCATATTGCAAACATTGTTATAGTGGATTTGAAATAGATGTTCCATTTTTATTTATTAAATAGTGTGTATTATGTTTATCAGCCTACACATTGAAGAAATCTTAGCAAAGGAAATGTGTTCCCTTTGCAACGGATCAAATATGTGTCTCCCTATGTCCTGCCATTTGATATAGTGTGCTTTACCATTTGGCCACGGGAAACATCACAGCAAACAAAGTTCTATTTTTACTTTTTAACAAAAACACATCCTCTTAACCTGATTATTTTTCTTGAAATCCATAATTATTCAGTTTCACATCCAAAACGTAATCAAAGCAATTTTGAAAGAATTAATGGATTTATTTTTAATCAGACATTTTATTACTTCAAACAATATTATAGTGGATGTTTCGTATTTGAAATAGACACCCCATTTCTATTTATCATTAAACAGTATTGTATTAGATCTAGCGGTCTGTACATTCAAGAAATCCTAGTTAAGAAAATGTGTCTTCCAGCAATGATCAAACATGCACACCCCTAATTTGTCAGTAGACCACCAACTGATTAGACATGCTTTACACTAAACAAGTCTTTATTTTTCTTTTATAAGCTGGAATTTGGAAAATCTAGTTGGATGATATAATTTTCTTTTCATTATGTTGTTAATGTTTTGGTCTGTAAGAGCATTATCAGAAAAATTTAAAAAATCTAAGGAAATAATCATTACAATGGCAATCATGCTACTTGTAAATGATGTGGGTAATTTGTAAAAAATTTAACAGTTAATAAAATTTAAAAATAAATATCAATGAACAAGTCAATCAGATTTTTACCTTCATTTTTTTCAGTAGTTCTGATGATGCTCTCATAGAATGAAATGTTGACCTCAGAATAAAAAAAAACTTGAATATCCAACTGGTCTTGACAAATTTTATATTACATACTTTATCTAGCTATTTCATACCAGTTATTTTATCATATATACACTACAGTTCAAAAGTTTGAAGCCACCCCAAGAATAAGCATGGGATGAACTTGACAGAAGATTGAAACCTTTCCATTCAAAAAATGTAAAAGAGAAAAAAGAATGGAATCAATTATCAAACTTAGAATTTAAGCAACTTTTGCAATGAATTCCAAAAATTTGTGCTACAGTAATCAAGGCTAAAGGAGGATATTTTGCCAAGAGTAAAATTTAATCATAAATGCATTTTTTTTCTTTATGTCATAATAAAATTTCTAATAAAAAATCATGTCTCACTTTTTTTTTAAGCATGTATAATAATTTTCTATTATTTAAAATACAAAACAACTACTTTTTGGATCAATTTAAAAAATTACCAGGGGTTGTCTCAAACTTTTTAACTGTAGCGTATGTATGCATATATATATATATATATATATATATATATATATATATATATATTTTTAAATAATGCAGCTTAATTAATATTTTAAAGTAGTCATTCAAAGAATAAATCAATAAAGTTAATGCAATAATTGCAAATTCACTTCGCTAACAGATTAAATAAGGCATTAACTCACTGACCACTTGTGGAACAATGCCATCCTTGTTTTTATTAATTATAAAATGGATTAAATATACGGTCCATATTATAAGTACTTTCGGTAAACATTTACCATCCTCAGGTATAGATGTTATTTTTTTCTCAATTTCAGGTAATTTTGGATAAAATTCCAAGATGAAAATGAATATGGTACTTATTGTAAGATGTTTTTTAGAAAGTGTGCTATTATTAACAGTTAAGTTTTTTTTGAGCTCACAGTAATAATAATAATAATAATCTATTAAGAAATTTATAAGCACAGAAAATCATAATATTTTAAATTGTCAAAGTTAGGGAACATTCCATCATTTTGATAAGGGGTGGTTGGGTTGTAATTTCCCTAGACAACTTATGTATCAAATATAAGTTACTTTAAAAATCAAGTTAAGTTAAGGTGGGGTAGGGGTGCCTTCTCACAAACAATGATATCCATTTTTCGCTTGTCGTCTGTGTTTTTCAAGGATAAAAAATTTTTGGCATTTTTATTTGGCCATCTAATTTAAAATTTTATACACAATGATTTCTTAAAAGGGTCATCTAAATATGAGTAAATTGTATTTTTAATATTTAAAATCTATTCCTACAAATTTTAAGTACATTTCTACTTCCAATAACTAATAGACTATATGTTATTTTTTACAAATAAATACATCAGAATTATATTAGTATTTTTAAAAAAAATTATTAATCAAAGATCAAGTATAAATATGTATGTTTCGTTTTTCATCTCTTTTTCAAAATTAAACATTATTTTTGCAACATAATATGATGAACAACCCTTGAGTTGCATAAAATCTCAAATTGCCAAATGGGTTAATTGTAAATATTTCTGAAAAGAACAAATAAATACACCACAAGAATTTCATCTTCTCATATAAATATCTCTTAAAAATGTTATCAACATTAATTGATTAATACCAGTTTTATTTTGTAAACATTGACTGGTATAATAAACACATAGAAAAACAAAGATTTTAAATGGTTGCTTGTTTTTTAGTTAGCAGCATATCAACCTCTATTGATTATTTAATGCTGAAATCTAAATATTTTGTGTGTAATTTTATTTCTTATTTTTGGAGATAATAATGGTGTTAGTGATACAAGTCTTACTGATTAACCCATAGCTGGAGGGAGAAGATATGGATTTATACCTTTCCCAAGGGTATTTCCACATAAGTGAATATAATGAACCCAACTGGAACTGGAACTTGGTTCTTCATTTATCAATTCTGAACCATTATTCATTACACCATCTGCACATCCAAGCTTACAGCACCTGGTATTTTCAAGGAGTTACCCATCTAGATATTGACCAGGCTTGACGTTGCTTAACTTCAGTGATCATATGGGAACTGATATTTCAACATGATGCAGCCATATGCTTCAAGTTTTGTGTTTTATTTTTCAACAAGATATATGTTTGTAAAAATTAAATGAACAATTCTTGAGTGTTGAGAGGATGTGAAAATCTGGCTTTATCTAGATTATAAAAAAGTCTGGAGTTAGTCTTGCATGTTGGCACTCCCCATTATTAAAATTAGCGCTATACATTCTTCCTACTTCATTTATCTCTAATTTGGTCCCATATCAGTCTAGCCTTAGTATTTAAAAATCTTAAACTTTCACTTACCAATGAAATTATTACAAATATCAAGCTATACTTTAACCCAATATTTTTAGATTGTAATAATGTGGAGAGAAAATAATGGCTTTGTGATATAAGTCTCACTAATTAATCCATAGACGGGGGAGGAGAGGTGGATTCATAACTTTACCAAGATTATTTGGATGTACATGAGCTTAACAAATCCAACAGGAATTGGAACTCATCTCTCCTGGAATAAGTTTTAGGAGCAATAATGAAAAAAAAAACATAATTTGTTAAGAGCTACAAAAAAAAAAAAAAAAAGAAATGGTGGAGTACCTTGATCAAAAACGTTCTTAAAATACATAGAAAAAGAAGAATATTTTGGTAAACATATAGATATGTTTATAAATATATATATAAATATAAATGAAGATTTTGCAGGCTTTTGAAAAGTACTCTAATGTAAAAGTAAGCTGGATAGTAAAGTTGTGTCATACCAATCTATCAAGTGGACTGGTTTGCCAGTTATGAAGATCAGCATTTAGAAAAGTGGCTTTTAGGATCTTGATTTGATAGACAAACAAATGGATAGTTATGAACAGTGTTAGAAAAATGAGAGAGACAGATAAACAAAAAGATAAAAGAGGATGATAGAGTAAAAGACAGACTAGAAAAAATATATGGAATCAAGTGGGAGAACAGAAGACCTGGAAATTTGTACAATCATCTACGGTCAGACAGAAAAAAAAATGTACAATCAGAATGTTTATATATAGAACATCGTTTATTAGTAGCTTTAGTAAAGGCTGATATCACTATTATTAAGAAATGTTATTTTCTCTGAAGACAGGCTCTCCTCTTACTATGAAAGCTTGTCAATTTCTTTAAAGAAAAACACAGAGCAATAATGAATTAAAGGAGACTGTGTAATAGCGTTGAGCAATTTTGTATCATCAGTGAAAATAACGAGGAAGCCATCTTTTGGCTTCCCTTATTTCAGCCATTATTTGAAATATGGAACAAAGAGTTGAGGGGTTCTTTTTTTTTTTTGCAATTATGGTTTCAAGTGAATACATATATTTATACTTATCTCACTTAATTTGAATGTGGGCACATTTTATAAAATCCTCTGATCAAAAGACTGTGTGGGAAAGAGGTGCAGACAACTGGAAGGACCAGTTTGAAGAGAGAAAAAAGTTGTAGCTCTTTTTTCTTTTAAATGAAAAAAAAAACTATTTCCCTTATTAAAATTATGCACCCTGACAAAATTCCCTTGAAAATGTTCTTGGATTCCTTCTTTGTTGCTCTCTGTTAGTAATTTTCCTTGTTTATAGGATTCTTTCATTTTCTCTTTCCTAAATTTCATTATGGACGAAAAGGTCATAAAACTGTATACCATTTATCTCATTTACTGATGATTTGATGAGATATACAATAATTAGTAATTTCTTGCTCCTCTAAGAAAGATAATAGCAGAGATGACATATAATTGTGTTGGCTGGGTGGGGAGATGAAATGAGGGGGACAAAGTGTTTCTATTTTCGGACAAAATATGTATATTATGAATCTGTTTCCAAATACAAGGAAGAGTCATACTTGGGAGTAATTTCAAAATTCAATGCAATGATAGGACGGGGTGAGTGATAAAAGAAAAATAGTTGTGAAAAAGAAAGAACATTCTTAAAAAATAAACCTCTGTCCCTGTTCAAGATTTTAGATTTTCAATTTTTCTTAAATTGTAAGATTTTTTTCTTCAATTTTTTTCTTCTTTCTTTTTTTCTTTCTTTCTGTTCATCTACCTTTGTTTATTTGTTTCTTTCTTTTTGCTTGTCTGTCTTTATTACTTTCCTTTGGTTTGTTTGCCTTTCTTTCTTTTTTCTTTCTTTTCTTCTTTTTGTTTGCCTTTCTTTCTTTTTTCGAATAGATTTTCAACTTTTTCTTAACAAATTGTAAGGTTTTCCCTCAATTCTCTCTTCTTTCTTTTTTTCTTTCTTTCTTTCTTTTTTTCTTTCTTTTTTCTTTCTATGAGTTTGTCTACCTTTGTTTATTTGTTTCTTTCTTTCTGTTAGTCTGTCTTTGTTTTTTTCCTTTGGTCTGTTTACCTTTCTTTCTTTCTTTCTTTCTTTCTTTATTTCTTTCTTTCTTTCTTTCTTCCTTTCTTTCTGTCTGTCTGTCTTTCTGTCTGTCTGTCTGCTTTTTGTTCTTTCTTTCTGTTTGTCTGCTTTTCTTTCTTTCTTTCTTTCTGTTTGTCTACCTTTGTTTATTTGTTTCTTTCTGTTAGTCTGTCTTTGTTTTTTCCTTTGGTCTGTTTACCTTTCTTTCTTTCTTTCTTTCTTTCTTTCTTTCTTTCTTTCTTTCTTTCTTTCTTTTTCTTCTGTTCCTTTTTCTTCTTTCTCTGTATCTTTTCCCTTCTCTCATTGTAAAATAATCTTTCTCCTCAAAATTTCATAAATAACTATATGCACCCACATAAATTTATACTTAACTATGGGAAAAGCATGAAACCAATTCTCATAACAAGTGGAATAAGAGCTTACTCCATGCTGCTGCTATTTTGTAACCCACTACAATCTATCACAAAAAGAGGAGATGAGCACTGCCAAGTAACCCCTAATAGTCCATGAAATTATAATGGCAATGGTTATGATAATATTAGTTTCCTTATAAGGAAACATTTTTCATTCATTGACTGAGCAGCCAGTGCTACTTTTGGTTGAAATTTATAAAATCTTTTTCTTGAAACAATTTTTCAAGAAAATTTCTTTCTCAAATTCAGTAATTGGCATTGGTTTTTCTAATACTGATGGGGGTTTCCTTCTTAATATTTTATCTGAAGTAGTATGGAATGCCTACATCTTGCTTATATTGTTATTTCCTCTTTGAATTACATATGATATTCATTTTAGTTGTTGCTGCTGTTGAGAGTCCTCAAGTGATATGGTTTCTGTTGTCTAATACAGTTCTTTGTTTATGATTTTGTAGTGCCAGTCCACAAAGTTTAAAGAAGGATGATTCTTGTGAAAACCTTCAGGTGTTATTAGTTCAAAGTCATTTTTAATAATTAAAGAAAGCAATTTATACAGCTGACAGTTTAGATATTTCTGAATGAGTTTCGCATCATGCATGACACCCACCTTAAAGTCTTGATCTTACAAGGCTACTGAAGAACATGAGTCGTGTCATTAGGTTAATATCTTGGTTTTGTAGCAGTTTGTGTTTTATATGAAACTACTCCTAATACAGCCTATTCTATATTCAGTTTCCTTATCTCCAATACTAAATTTGTTATAACTAATACATACACTGAGGAATTTGAAGTGTTTAGTATTTACTAACTCTATATCCTGAATTTTTATGATTGATTCAGCATTCATGTCATTACTGCTTTCATTCCAATTCCAGATCATAGTTTCTGTTTTGGAAAGATTTATCATAAGTCCTATTTCTTGAAACACTTGGTTGGGAGTGTTGATTTTCTGTTTAAGATCATTCTTATCCCAAATCTAAATGCATATGTCATCAACATAGACCTCCTCCTTATCAGCACATTAGCCTTAAGAGGCAAAATAGGATCATTGTCTTCTGTTATTTGGTACAATTCTTTGTTTGTGATTCTGCAGCACCAGTTAACTAAGTCTTAAGCAGGCTGCTCTTCTTCACTAAAACACACAAGCTTCACTCACTCAAAGACATTTTTAAACATTGATCTGAGAAAATGGTTATATACAGCAGACCGTTTAGATATTTCTGCACAAGTTTGATGATATTTATGACATCCACATTAAAGTCAACATCTGACAAGGCCATTTAAGAACATAACTCAAGTTTTCATATTAATGTTTTAATTTATGCCATTGGGTGAATCTATCTTTAGTGCTGCCTATTCTATGTTTAATTTTATTCTCTTTTATACTAGATTTGTAATAATTGATCCTGGCACTAAGGTATTTGAAATGTTTAGTATTTACTAAGTCCACATATAGAATTTTATATTCCAATTCCAGATCATAGTTTTTATTTTGGAAAGGTTAATCTAATAAGAAACTAATTTAAATTTGATTTGATGCACAATTATGAAAAATGGATTGCCAAGTTGAATAAAGTACAATTAAATTTAAATTGATTGAAAAAAAATCAAATAAAATTATAAACCTTTTCACATTTTCACTTTTTGTTTCCTGCCACAAGTTCAAAAATTCACCAAAATGTGAAGGATTTAATCCTGACCCTAGCATTTGTGGAATAAAATATTTCACCAGTTCTAACTTGATATTTCTTACATCCTGTATTTTTATATACTAAAGTTCATCAAATACAAGACTAGAGAGCAACACAAGATAGAAGGTTACTGTTAAAATGATGAATGAGTTGTGAGATATAAATGAAAGAAGTTGGTAGAAAGTGAAGTTTATGATTATAAGAAGGATAGATAATGATTGACTTTTAACTTGAAGAGATCAGAATAAATGATTATTTTTATAGATGTATTTTCTAACAAATTAATATTTGATATGGAGGTAATTTTGAACACATGAATTTTTGAGGTGCAGGAATTTTAGAATAAATGAATATTTGATGGGGTGTCATTTTAAAATAAATGATTATTTGAGGTGGAACATTGTTGGACACATGGATACATGATGTGGAGGCATTTTAGAATAAATTAATATTTGACATGGGACCATTTTAAAATAAATGATTATTTGAGGTGAAGCATTTTTGGACACATGGATAAATGAGGTGGAGGCATTTTAGAATAAATTAATATTTGACGTGGGAGCATTTTAAAATAAAGTATTATTTGAGGTGGAGCATTTTAGAATAAATTAATATTTGATGCAGGAGCATTTTAAATTAATATTTGACATGGGATCATTTTAAAATAAAGGACTATTTGTGATGGAGCATTTTAGAATAAATTAATATTTGAGATGGGGGCAATTTTAACACTTGAATATATGAGGTGGAGGCATTTTAGAATAAATGAATATTTTAAGTGGAAGCATTTCAGAATAAATGAGTATTTGGGCTGATGTGGGGATTTTTAAAAAAATAATTTAGGGGAGGAGGCATTTTAGAACAAATTAACATTTTTATTGTCTACAACTTTGAGAAGTGAGATAAATATATCAATTGTCATTTACACCATTAAAATGCTTTTTTGTATATTTTCTGTTGTTAACATAATTTGTCTGTTGACTAGACATGAAATGTTTATGTTGTGTATTATAGACTGTATCTTTAATGCTATTCTTGTTTCCTTCTGAAAGAAATGTATTTCTTTTCTTTGTTTTCTTCACATGAATTACACATGACAAGGCTTTTAGAATGAATTGCATTAGCAACATTGTGTTAACAACAGCATACATGCAGGAAAGGTTTTCAGCTGTCCAAACATTATTTGGTATGCAAATGAATATTTTGTTTTGCTAACATGAGAAATCCTCACTTTTTCATAAAAAGGGATACATTTGTATTTTTGCATTCACAATTCAAGGAAATCAGGAAAAGCAGAAACAGTCTCAGTGATTATCATTTTGTTAAAGTAAATGCTTTAGTCTTGTTTTTAAAAAGTAATACACTTTCATTGGCTTGTGTCATGGCAAAAAAAAAATAGTTAAAGAGTTCCAAAGTGCTTGGATCAGTGTTTAAACCAAAGTAAATGCTAAGATTTTGAATTTGAATGTTCAACTTTGGTAGGCCCCTTCACTGTTAGAATATCCATGTAATTCAACGAAGGGCCATTTAAGTACAATTCTTTGTTTGTGATTCTGTAGTGCCAGTTTAAGTAAGTCTGAAGAAGGCTGCTCTTCATCACTAAAACACACAAGCTTCACTCACTCAAAGACATTTTTAAACATTGATCTGGGAAAATGGTTATATACAGCTGGCAGTTTAGATATTTCTGAACAGGTTTGATGCCATGAATGACAACTACCTGAAAGTCTCCATCTGACAAAGCCATTTAAGAAGATGACTCAAGTTTTAATATTAATGTTTTCATTTGTGCTGTTGTGTGAAACTGCTCATAGTGCAGCCTATTCTATATTCAGGTTCCTTATCTCCAATACTAAATTTGTTATAACTAATACATTCACTGAAGAATTTAAAGTGTTTAGTATTTACTAACTCTACATCCTGATTTTTTATGATGGATTAAGGCTTCATGTTATCACTGCTTTTATTCCAATTCCAGATCACAGTTTCTTTTTTGTAAAGGTTTATCCTAAGTTCTATTTCTTGGATCACTTGGTAAAGAATGTTGATTTTCTGTTTAAGATCATTCTTATCCAGCTATCAGCATTGCCCTTCTCCTTATCAGCACATTGACCTTAAAAGGCAAAATAGGATCATTGTCTTCTGTTATTTGGTACAATTCTTTGTTTGTGATTCTGTAGCGCCAGTTTAACTAGGTCTGAAGAAGGCTGCTCTTCTTCACTAAAACACACAAGCTTCACTCACTCAAAGATATTTTTAAACATTATCCTGAGAAAATGGTTATATCCAGCAGACAGTTTAGATATTTCTGCACAAGTTTGATGCTATTTATGACATCCACATGAAAGTCAATATCCGACGAGGCCATTTAAGAACATGACTCAAGTTTTAATGTTAATGCTTTGATTTATGCCATTGGGTGAATCTACCTCTGCCTATTTTATGTTAATTTTCATTATCTTTTATACTAAATTTGTAATAATTGATCCTTGCACCAAGATATTTGAAGTATTATGTATTTATTAATTCCATTCAATTTCTATGATGGATTCAAAATACATATCAATAGGTAGTTTAGTCAGTTCGTTAAGTGCCAAAAGTGAAACACCATTGGGTGATCATGTCTCATTCAATTCATGACTGATTACATAGAAGATTTTCCTGCAGTAACTTGCCATTTCTTTCTATGATAGACTGGTCGCCAACCAAGGTTATAGGACTCAATCTGTCCTACTATTCAACCCATAGCTGGGGGGTAGAAGTGATGAATTCATACCATTCCCATGGGTATTTGCATGTAAGTTTATGTAACAAACCTGACTGGAATTCAAACTTGTCACTTGTTTAGTATTTACTGATACCATATCCTGAATTTTTAATGTTATTGATTCTGAACTGGCATCATAATGTCAGTCACTTTCTCACTGCTGTGAGATGACATCCCTCTGTCTTTTCTATAAATATTTGCATGGCAATTGTTTTGAAAAGCTTTCCTTATTGGTAAGAGGTATTATGGTGGTTGTAGTAAAAAGGTATGAATGAATGTGTTGTTTTGGTGTAAGGAATATTGTTTCATACGATTGGGTCAGTGTTTGTGGTTAGCTAAGTTATAGTTAAGACAGAAGAAGACCGTCCTTTCCCCAATCCCCTTTTCGGCCTTGTGCCACATTTCTGTATTGTACAGAATAAATATCTCTTTCC